TCATTAGTTTGATCTTGAAGAGCCACCTGAAGGACACGCGAAGGTCAGCTCCAACTTTTTAAATGGGACACCCTATATGCTTTTGCATATTCTTGTAGCTCATCTCAAGAGCTTTCCAAAACACTATAATTAAGTTAGTTTTCATTAAGTACTTTTCAAGTTATGAGGCTTGAAATCATTTTTTAATTTTACATAAACCGTAAAATATCTTGTAAAATATTCATTTTTCGATTATTTTACCTTAATACTTTTATGTACAAAATAATGAGAGGAATCAATTGGTGTAAAGAAAAGACATAGTTATTTTTAAGAAAAAATATGTAATTGTTAATTGCAAATTACATATTTTTTTTCGAAACAACTATGAGGTTTCTTTACACCAATTGATTTCTCTCATTATTTTGTACATAAAAGTATTAAGGTAAAATAATCGAAAAATGAATATTTTACAAGATATTTTACGGTTTATGTAAAATTAAAAAATGATTTCAAGCCTCATAACTTGAAAAGTACTTAATGAAAACTAACTTAATTATAGTGTTTTGGAAAGCTCTTGAGATGAGCTACAAGAATATGCAAAAGCATATAGGGTGTCCCATTTAAAAAGTTGGAGCTGACCTTCGCGTGTCCTTCAGGTGGCTCTTCAAGATCAAACTAATGACACCATCTTATGTCCCCCTTGAAACCATACAACTTTTGTCTAAAACATTTTTCTCTATCTTGCTTAGGTTCCGAGAAATTCAGGTGGTCGGATTAAAATGAAACACCCTGTATAACGCGATTCCCCCTCTTTGCATACGCTACCCAATGAGTACTCGGTCCTTCGACGCTATCTAAATTTACGATGCCGTTCTCATTTTGACAAATACCATCGATCGGTAAAGAGTTGCGCATGAAAACGCCTCTAAAATATGGAATGCGCATACATTTCGCCAGTTGTAGCAATTGTACGTTGGTAGTTGCGCCCTGCGGCATTTTTAACGTTTCTTTGACGTTTTTTTTTCTCGTTGAGACTTCTCGTCCGTGTTTGTAAGGAGCGAGATATAATCCGCGACCTTCCATGGCGCGATTGTGACGTAGCATCTCTTGCATCTGACGTTGCGCGGCTTTTCCGTCGTTCACCGCCTTCGCTACACCCGCCGCTCCGCCGATCAGGGATCCGAGCGCACCCAGCATTGGTAGAATCGGCAATACGCCGCCGCATTTCGCTACCGGAAGTATCTGTTTCTTCGCAGTTTTCTTCTTCGTCTTCGTCCTTTTCAGGCCCTTACCGAGCTTCGTCTTGGCTTTCATCGCCACTCAGACAACTGTGGCTGCGGCTCTCTCACCGAGAGTCGAATCTCTCGCACCGATACGATTTCGCGCTCTCTCGGCGAGTATCCTATCCGCCGCGTGTCTCTCGGTGAGATCATTGTTCCGAGAGTACGCTATATCGTGTTCGCGACACGCCGCGTCCAATAAATTTATACCTCGATCGCCTCTGGCTAATCGCTTCTGTAACCGCGTGCCTGGACCGCAAAACTGATAGCCAGGAATATGGAATTCGATCGGAAGCGCGTTTATCGCACGATTTAAGAGACCGCTGTCTCTTACTATTCTCGCTGACATACGTCGCAATCTTTTATCAACGGAGGCGGACCGTCGATGTGCGTTCGCTGCCACGGCTGGTTGTAATGTCGCATGCACGAACGATATTGTCGAACCTCTGGATCAGCCTTTATATATACTGGAAGCTTGTCCCACAATCGTTCCACGTAATCACCGAAATTTTGCAGTAAAAAAATCTTCGGGATATACTGCAGTTGTTTGGCCGTAAGCTTGAGAATGTCTCTTTCGTCCAACAGAAGGAGAAACATATTTGATACTGAGCGGTTTCGAGTCGAAACACCTCTATAAATAGGTCTCCTCCTCGCGATCATTCGCAAAATTGGTTCGAAACAGATAACATGCGGTTCGTACGACAGCCTTTGACGATACGCGTGACGAATTGCGACGACAGATTACGATCGATGGGGGACAACGCGGAGATGCGCAGACACGATACGATGCTACCGACTACTATACGCACGATCGTTTGCGGTCCCTCGAATTGTGGTAAAACCAACGTTCTGATAAGTCTACTGGTGTTCAAAACTCATAATCGGCATTCCGATAAACAAATTCGCGTAACTAAAAATCCTTTAATAAATTCGAAGTTTCAAAATTAACGGGTGTCAAAGAAACTTCTCGAAACGTCTGTTTTCTACAAAAACTCAATCGGTCGATTTATCTTCTATTTTTTTCAACGACTAAGAAACACTCATCATGCTCGTTGACAATAACATTGTCAACCGTCGACAAAATCAGAGCAACATATGGGCATGCGCGCCCATACGTTACGATCAGCTGATCGCCAATCAGCTGATCGAAAAAGATCGTGCGCATGACAAGTGTAAAAATTTCAATTCATGACCTCATCGGCGGCCAATAATGCGCGGCGCCCTGAGGTCACCGCTAAAATACGAAAATTATTGGCCCACATTGCAACGGGCCCAAAAATTCTGCCTGCTATATAAATAGCACCGCACGTGGGCACGAGAAAGTCTTGCGCTTTTCTAAGACGTGCTCTTTTGATTTTCGCTTTGTTACACCGCTATCTCACACCGCTTATAACGACCGCTATTCTCTTGGACTTCGATTATCCGCACGTTTCCAAAGATCAACTCACTGCACCGCTCGCGATATCTCGCATTATAACTGTGTCGCTTTTTGCACCGCGCGCTTACTGTGAATCGTAATCACCGAACACTTGTCACTTTTATTTTTGACATAAAGTTTCGTCCTTTTGTTAACCGAAGGCAAATATCTTTTAACTGACGATCTTCCACTTTCCTCAATTCACTGCCGGACTCGCTCCCGAACATTTCTGATCCTTCGAGCCGGATATTTCTTAATCCGCATCCGCAAGTTCGTGAGTGACGTGCTCAGAGTGAAGTGCAGTGCATTCCTGAAAAGGAAAACAATCCATGTCAGTGAAAATGAGTATGGACGTGAATTCTCTGGTCGAGGCTCAGCGCGACATTCATGGGCGAATGTCAAGGTCCATGGAGAACCTAAAAAAGATGGGTGCGAGTCACATCACCGTAGGTGCCGTCGGGGCACGGATCAGCATACTTGACAGTCTGTGGAAAAAGGTTGATGCTCAGCACGACAGCATTCGAGCCTGCCTCAAGGACAAGTATTACGCTCGATCTGATTTCATTGAAACTTTAGAAGCTACTTACGTGTTGCAACGAAGCTGTTGATCCAATGTGCAGAGGATTTAAGAGCCTCGTCAACCGCGTCACAAGATCAAGGTCGAGAGCACGCAGTTAAAACCTCGCTTCCTCGCATAAAATTACAAACGTTCTCAGGCTCATACGAAAATTGGCCGTCCTTCCGCGATCTCTTTTCCTCAGTCATCGGAGAGAATTCGTCGATATCTGACGTTGAGCGCTTCCATTATCTCCGATCGTGCGTCAAAGGAGCCGCTGAAAAGTTAATTCAGTCATTAACCGTCACCAGTGAGAATTATCATCGCGCATGGGCGATTCTTTGCAAACATTTTGAAAATAAACGGGAGTTGATTCGTTCAAACTTCGCGACCTTCATCGCCGTGCTCAAAATGAAGGGAGAATCCGCCGAGGAACTTAGCCGCATTCACAATGCCGTCATGACCGCGGTTAATGCTCAAGAGGGCATACACAGACCCATTAACTCTCATGGTATGGATTTGTTCAATTTCCTCGTCATCGAGCTCTTAGACTCGCGCACACGCATGGAGTGGAAAACCTCCACCGCCAACTCTTTGGAACCGCCAAATCACGACATGTTCTTACACTTCATCGCGAAAAGAATTTTAACCCTCAACGCCGCTAAACCGAAAGCAGCTCTAAAGGGTTGCGGAGATTCGTCGCGACTGGTAAAGTCTCTTCACACAAAATACAGTGCCGACCAACGAAAGTGCGCACTATGTGAAGGAAATCACACGTTAATGCAATGCAGTGAATTCAAATTGAAATCCGCCGGTGATCATAAGTCCTTTGTTGAATCTCATCGGCTGTGCTTTAACTGCCTTGGGAATCATATGATCTCCAAATATCAATCCGCTAAAACGTGCTTGTCATGCAAGGCCAAGCACCACACCATGTTGCACGACGCCTACGTCTCGTCTAACGTAAACGAGGCCACCGCACTCTTCGCGGTGCGCCAGCCTTCAGACCGCCAGGCAATTCTCCTCGCGACCGCTCGCGTGAACATTGCCGACCGTATCGGAGAGCCTCATGCAGTCAAAGCACTGATTGATCAAGGTTCCGAGGTGTCAATAATTTCCGACGCGCTAGTTCAACGTTTGCGCCTACCGCGCTCCCGCTCTTCAGTTTCAATCGTCGGCATCGGTGGAACCCGATCCTCCGCAACACGTGGCAAGATAACTTTGCAGCTCTCATCTCCAGTCACTGGATTCAAGCTCACCGCCGTTGCTCAAGTGTTACCTCGTTCCTCCGCTTACCAAGGACCAACCGCGAAAGGCCTCTCCTCGTGGCCTCACGTTAACGGCCTCAAGCTCGCCGATCCAAAGTTTCTCGAGCATGACCCGGTCGAACTGCTGCTAGGCGCCGAAGTCTGCTCGACTATATTTGTGGAGGGACAAGGGCAGCCCTCGAGATCCCATGGCTCAGGAAACCGCTCTAGGTTGGATCCTATCAGGTGAATCCAATACCGCTTCAGTCCGGGATCAGCGAGCGTCCTTTCAATACACCATCGACACGGAATTGCAAAAGCTGGTGCACAACTTTTGGAAACAGGAGGAGGATCCATCCACTTTAATCGCACTCCCGCCAGAGGATGAGAAGTGTGAAACATTCTTTTCACAAACTCACTCGCGAACCGCAAGCGGAAGGTATGTGGTTCGCCTACCTTTCGCGTCTTCGCCGCCATCACTCCTCGGAACTCGAACGTCTGCTGAACGCCTTCTTACGGCCATGGAGAAGCGGTGTCATCAAAATCCAAAATTCGGTTCACTCTACAAGGACTTCATGGTCGAGTACGAGAATCTGAAACACATGAGTCCAGTAAAGAAGAGCACCTCAGCAATGTGCTACTTACCTCATCACGGGATCTTCCGTGAATCCAGCTCCAGCACGCAGCTCCGCGTCGTGTTCAATGGATCTCAACGCACACACTCAGGAGAATCTCTCAACTCACATCTCCTAGTCGGCGAAAATTTACTACCCACTCTGGCTGACATCATTCTCCGGTGGCGTCGGCACCGCTACGTGTTCATTACCGACATTGAAAAGATGTACAGACAAATTCTCGTTCACCCGGAAGATCGTCGTTTTCAGGGCATATTGTGGCGTCCGAGCACCAGTAACGTAGTCACCGAGTACGAGCTGAACACGGTGACCTATGGATTCGCTTGCGTTCCTTTCCTAGCGGTCAGAACGCTGAGGCAATTAGCATCTGACGAGGAGTCTCGCGGTCCACTAGGAGCTTCTGCCTTGCAGCATGACTGCTATGTGGACGACATCATCACTGGAGCCAACACCCTGCCCGATGCGCTCTCCTTACAAGCACAATTGATAGAGATCTGCATGGCGGGCGGGTTTCCGCTGCGTAAGTGGGCAGCAAACAATTCGGCCCTGCTATCCAGCATCTCTCAGGATCATCGGCTCCATCAGGCTCATCACGCCTGGGAGGGAGAGGTACACTCCACTTTGGGTCTGCGCTGGCATCCGGCAAGCGACGATTTTTCCTTCGCCATCCAACCTCGCATCGCAACGGAGTTGACCAAGAGACGAGTCTTAGCCGAAACCGCACGGCTGTTTGATCCGCTGGGATGGCTCTCTCCAGTTATAGTCAGGGCCAAGATCCTGATTCAGTCTACTTGGCTAAAGAGGTTGGATTGAGACACTCCTCTTCCAGCGGAGGATACAAAACAATGGCAAATCCTCTTGAATGAGCTTCCCTCACTAGAGCATCTTCGCATCAAGCGTTGGATACAATCAGGAAGCAGCGATGAGCACCTGGAACTTCACGGCTTCGCCGACGCCTCAGAACGAGGTTTTGCCACCGTCGTCTACCTCCGCTCGGCATCAGCCAATCACATTTCGTCTCACCTCCTGGCGGCCAAGACCAAAGTCGCTCCAATTAAACCAGTAATGCTCCCCCGACTTGAGCTCTGCGCCGCCGCCCTGCTAGTAAATCTCGTGTGCCAAGTCCGGTCAACGCTGGAGTTCTCTTCATTGGCCGTGCATCTATAGACCGACTCCAAGGTCACCCTCCACTGGATCAAGAGTTATGCCTCCCGGTGGAAGACTTATGTGGCCAACCGAGTATCTTCAATCCAGCAGAAGCTTCCCGAAGCTCACTGGAAACACGTTTCGGGTCGAGAGAATCCCGCGGACTGTGCCTCAAGGGGAATTTCGCCGAAGAAGCTCCTGAATCATCCTCTCTGGTGGACCGGGCCCAACTGGCTACGCCAGGAACACGCTCAATGGCCAATCAACACCAGCGACGACTCCCTCGAGAGCATTCCTGAAAAGCGAATACATCTTTCAGTGAACACGTATCGCAACGACTCCGAGCCGGAAATTCTCCTCCGATTCTCAAACTTACACAGGCTCTTGCGAGTCTTTGCCTGGTGTCACCGATGGCGTAAGACTACCGTCCACGCCCATTACGTCACGCTACATCCAGATGAGATCGATGCGGCTCTTCTCCGGTGGCTTAAGGTAGTCCAAGGGTTCCACTTCGCCTCCGAACTCACCGCTGCACGCGATTCTCGTCCAATGCCTCATCGCAGCCGCCTGGATAAGCTGGCCTCATTTATAGACGACCTTGGAATACTGTGGGTCGGTGGTCGGCTAAAACACACCATGCTCTCTTATGACGAACGTCACCCGATAGTAGTTCCGCCAATGTCATGGCTAATGAAGCTCTTGGTGGAATCATGCCACCGTCGGATATTGCATGGAGGTGTGCAACTCACCTTGGGACTTCTGCGTCTCCGCTATTGGATTCCACAAGGCCGAGCCGTCGTGAAGCGAGTTCTTCACCGGTGCGTAACGTGCACCCGCTGGCGAGCTCTCTCATCACAGCCTCTGATGGGTGACCTACCTCGAGGACGAGTGACACCCGCACGCCCCTTCCTCAGAACTGGAGTCGACTACGCCGGTCCTATCTTCATCCACACGAGCAAGGGTCGAGGTCATCGAGCTCACAAGGCATTCGTAGTGGTCTTCATTTGTTTGTTTTCCAGGGCAGTCCACCTGGATGTTGCGTCAGATTACTCTTCTGAAGCCTTCCTTGCTGCATTCCGCCGGTTCATCTCACGCCGGAGTCTGTGCAAAGAGATGTACTCGGATTGTGGCACAAATTTCATCGGCGCAAATAAGGAGCTTCGCCGCATGTTCCACGCTTCATTTGCCGACGGCCGTCGGATCTCACAATCCTGCTCCCAAGAAGGAGTATCTTGGCGCTTCAATCCTCCCGCCGCCCTTCACTTCGGCGGACTCTGGGAAGTTGCAGTCAAATCCATCAAGTATCACCTGCGACGGGTGATAGGGGAGACCACTCTCACCTTCGAAGAGATGAGTACCCTGCTGGCTCAGATTGAGGCGTGCTTGAATTCCCGTCCTTTACAGGCTCTGACCCAGATGATTTGTCCGCACTAACTCCTGGACATTTTCTTATAGGAGCTCCATTGCTCGCACTTCCTGAGTCCTCCTTGGCCGACGAGGCACCAAGCAAGCTCTCACGGTGGCAGCTTCTACAGCAGATGCGTGACCACTTCTGGCAGCTGTGGTCCCAAGAATACATCCACTCGATGACATCTCGTCCAAAATGGTTCAAGGACAACCGCCCTTCAGAAGTTGGCGCGTTGTGCCTCATCCGCTCGGACATCACTCCACCAACTCAATGGTCACTCGCCCGGATACTCAAGACGCATCCCGGGGAGGACGGCGTCACACGTGTCGTCACCGTGCGCACAGCTGCTTCCGAACTTGTCCGGCCGCTCACTAAAATCGTTTTATTGCCGGTCACCGACACACTACCGCGTTTAAACGCTTAAAATGTAATATGTCTTTTGATTTGACATGTAATCATTAATGAAAACCACGCGTCGCTACTCCTCAATGTTCACTCGGCATATTATCACGTTCTCACTCTCGAAACTTCACACAAGCTGCGTTATCAGTCTCTCCGTTTTATTTTATCCTTTTTTCACGCGCACTTTGTCACCGTGGAATTTCAAGCTCACCTTCATTCATCGCGTGCAATTCTTGACGCTCATCTCATCAACGCACTCCACTCGCGATTCTCACTGTTCACCATCACTATTTTTCACTGCACTCACAAATCACACTATTCTCCGCTGTACACAACACGTGTCATTACGCTACATCACCATCGCATTTCATTCATCGATCTCGATCCGCTACTCATCAACGGAACTATTTGCAACACCTGTCCGTACTCGCACACACTTACAAATTTCGTCATGAACTGACGAGGCGGGATGTTCAAAACTCATAATCGGCATTCCGATAAACAAATTCGCGTAACTAAAAATCCTTTAATAAATTCGAAGTTTCAAAATTAACGGGTGTCAAAGAAACTTCTCGAAACGTCTGTTTTCTACAAAAACTCAATCGGTCGATTTATCTTCTATTTTTTTCAACGACTAAGAAACACTCATCATGCTCGTTGACAATAACATTGTCAACCGTCGACAAAATCAGAGCAACATATGGGCATGCGCGCCCATACGTCACGATCAGCTGATCGCCAATCAGCTGATCGAAAAAGATCGTGCGCATGACAAGTGTAAAAATTTCAATTCATGACCTCATCGACGGCCAATAATGCGCGGCGCCCTGAGGTCACCGCTAAAATACGAAAATTATTGGCCCACGTTGCAACGGGCCCAAAAATTCTGCCTGTTATATAAAGAGCACCGCACGTGGGCACGAGAAAGTCTTGCGCTTTTCTAAGACGTGCACTTTTGATTTTCGCTTTGTTACACCGCTATCTCACACCGCTTATAACGACCGCTATTCTCTTGGACTTCGATTATCCGCACGTTTCCAAAGATCAACTCACTGCACCGCTCGCGATATCTCGCATTATAACTGTGTCGCTTTTTGCACTTACTGTGATCGTGACGCGCGCTTACTGTGATCGTAATCACCGAACATTTGTCACTTTTATTTTTGAAATTAATAAAGTTTCGTCCTTTTGTTAACCGAAGGCAAATATCTTTTAACTGACGATCTTCCACTTTCCTCAATTCACTGCCGGACTCGCTCGCGAACAACTGGAAAGTCCACACGGTGTACGTTTCGAGAACGTGTACGTGTACTCGAAGTCACTGCAAACTCGAAGTCACAGCCGAAATATCGATATCTTGAGAATTTATTGACGCCGATCGAAATCGGCTACTTTACGTTCTCGAATAACAGTGACATCATTCCACCGAGCGAGGCACGTCCAAACTCGATTTTTGTCTTCGATGGCGTGCGACAAGCAAAATATAATAAGAGAGTACTTCTCAATGGGTCGTCACTCGAACGTCGACTGCTTCTATCTTTGTCAGACGTACGCGAGAATACCAAAACATCTTATATGCGACAAGGCGAACCTGCTGATCTTGTTCAAACAGGACGGTACAAATTTGAAACACGTGTACAACGATAACGTGAATACCGACATGTCATACGAGGATTTCAGTGAATTATGCCGTACTTGTTGGCAGCAAAAGTACGGATTCCTAGTGATTAATAAGGACAGCGCGCTTACGAACGGGCGATACAGAAAAGGATTTAACGTGTTCGCGATACCGCGAAACGATTAGTCGCTGTCAACATTCCGTCGAGAGGGGTGAAACGCTCGATATTCCGTCAACATGGCTGGAAGCGATAATATTCGCGAGCATGAAAAGATTGCGTGGGAGATTGAGAAAACGAGCGAATCAATCCGCAAGAAACATTGCTTTGAAGACCGGTAAGATCGACGAAGATATCGCGGGTCACGACCCATTTTAGGCGTATTATCGAGTCACTGCAAAAGATCGTCGACAACTCCAGCGCAATCGCGGTGAAAAAGCAGCCGGAGAGTAACGCTGACGCTATAATTAAAACGTTACCCATCAAGCGATACAAGGAGGAGGAGGAGGAGTAGGAGGAGGAGGAGGAGGAGGAGGAGGAGAAGGAGGAGGATGCGACACCGAAAAAGAGGAAACGATCGAAGGCGAAGCTTTTATCGATGCCGCGTATATCCAATCTATCGGATGCTTTATCGGATGAACCGACGATAATCTCTACGGACTCCACGCGGCTCGCGACGCACCAAGTCCGTTCTCGGCGGTACCTATGACGCGTAGCCGGGTGGTATCTACGAGTCGTATCTCGGGCGGCTTCTACGGCCTCCGCGCTGCTCGCGACGCACCATGTCCGTTCTCGGCGGTACCTACGTCGCGTAGCCGAGCGGTACATACGACCCGTAGCCAGGCGGTACCTATGAGACAGCGGTCGGGCGGCACATACGGCCTCCGCGCGGTTCGCGACTCACCAAGTCCATTCTCGGCAGTACCTACAACGCGTAACCGGGCGGTACCTACGAGTATCTCGGGAGGCTTCTACGGCTTCCGCGAGGCTCGCGGCGCACCAAGTCCGTTCTCGGCGTTTCATAAAACGCGTTGCAGGGCGGTACCTACGAGAGAGCGGTCGGGCGGCTCCAACGGCCTTCGCGCGGATCGTGACGCACAAAGTCCGTTCTCGGCGTTACCTAAGACGCGTAGCCGGGCGGTACCTACGAGAGAGCGGTCGTGCGGCACCAATGGCGTCCGCGCGGCTCTCGACGCACCAATTCCGTTCTCGGCGGTACCTACGACGCGTAGCAGGGCAGTACTTACGGGAGAGCGGTCGGGCGGCACTTACGGCCTCCGCGCGGCTCGCGACGCACAAGTCCGATCTCGGCGGTACCTACGACGCGTAACCGGGCGGTAGCTACGAGTATCTCGGGTGTCTCGGGAGGCTTCTACGGCCTCCGCGCTGCTCGCGGCGCACCAAGTCCGTTCTCGGCGTTTCATCAAACGCGTAGCAGGGCGGTACCTACGAGAGAACGGTCGGGCGGCTCCAACGGCCTCCGCGCGGCTCGCGACGCACAAGTCCGATCTCGGCGGTACCTACGACGCGTAGCCCGATGGTACCTACGTCGTGTGGCCGGGCGGCACTTACGGCCTCCGCGCGGCTCGCAACCCTCCATGTCCGATCTCGGCGGTACCTAGGACGCGTAGTCGAACGGTACTTACAACGCGTGGCCGGGCGGTACCTACGAGAGAGCGGTCAAGCGGCACTTACGGGCTCCTCGCGGCTCGCATCAAGTCCGTTCTCGGCGGTACCTACGACGCGCAGCCGAGCGGTACCTACGAGAGAGCGGTTGGGCGGCACCAACGGTGTCCGCGCGGATCGCGACGCACCAATTCCGTTCTCGGCAGTACCTACGACGCGTAGCAGGGCGATACCTACGACGCGTGGCCGGGCGGTACCAACGACAGAGCGGTCGGACTGCACCTACGGCCTCCGCGCGGCTCGCGACGCAACAAGTGTGTTTTCGGCGGTACCTAAGATGCGTAGCCGTGCGGTACCTACGACGCGTGGCCGGGCGGTACCTACGAGAGAGCGATCGAGAAGCACCTGCGGCCTCCGCACGGCTCGCGACGCACCAATTCCGTTCTCGGCGGTACCTAAGACGCGTAGCCGTGCGGTACCTACGACGCGTGGCCGGGCGGTACCAACGACAGAGCGGTCGGACTGCACCTACGGCCTCCGCGCGGCTCGCGACGCAACAAGTGTGTTTTCGGCGGTACCTACGACGTGTAGACAGGCGGTACCTACAAAAGAGCGGTCTGGCGGCACCTACTGCCTTCGCGCGGCTCGAGACGCACCAAGTCCGTTCTCGGCGGTACCTAGGACGCGCAGCCGAACGGTACATACGACGCGTGGTCGGGCGGAACATACGAGAGAGTATCCGTCGATGTTGCTTATGCTAACTCGGTATTCTAGTAATGGACTTTAAGAATCTCCAAATAATATGTACCATATGCTATTCGTCAATGACCAAATCCCATTTTCTCAGCATAATAGTCAAGAATATATGATCTATGTGAACCGTTATCAAAAATAGCTCTGACTATTTGTTCCTTACCTTGATTAAACAATCTCACACTAAGCGTCTGTAAAAATACTTCACTGGTAAGTGAAAAATTAGCAAGCGTAGATTTTTCTTTTATCTTGGAAAGTTCTTCTTCTTGATTAGCTTTTACAGAAGCATTTGATGTTGTATTACGTTACAAAAGCAAAACGTGCCTCTTACCGCACCATGCGCATTTGCCTTTATATCTGCAATATTTATGACTGTGTCCCGTCTTTACACAATAAAAACAAGCATTTTTAGTTTTAACGATTTTGCATTTATCTTCATAAGACATCTTTTTAGCCTTTCCGAACGATGCGCTTTCATGATCTAGGTCACAAAATATACAAGAGTGTCTTGTCTTGTTTGGTTGCGAGAAGACTCGCAGCAGTAGCTACATCTTTCTGTTCATTCTTCACTTTCTTCTTGAATTTATCCTGATTAGTTGTAGACTCAATGTTTAATCCAAAACCACTTATTGCCATAGCGATTCTTTCTTCGCTCATTACTAACGTCTGCAAAAGTGACATTAGTTCATCTAGGCATTGCTCCGATGTAGAAGTATTAATCGCTTTCGTATTTCTCTGCCATACATGTAAGAGATTTTCTGGTAACGACAATTCAACCAAAGGATCGCAGCACACATATCTGTTGTGACTCCTAGCGACTCTAAAGCTCGTAATTCTGTCTCGAGTTTATCATAAATGTTCGATAAGAGAACATGACCACTTATTTTTATTGACTGACAAGGGAAGTTCGGCAAGTGTAAAATTCAAAAAAATCTGTAACTTTGCATAAGTTTAGACTAGATGGACCTAATCACGAAGCATTTTTTTTTAGCGGCTGATATTCGGTTTTAAGGGTGGAAACATCCTC